TCGCGCGCACCGGCCCCGAGCCCTCGCTCAAGCTCGGGCTCGTCCGCGGGACTGACGCCACGTGGTATCGCTCGCCGCCGGCAAATGCGGCGCCCGCGGCTCGCTCCAGTTTAGGGTTTAGGGCTTAGCTTGTGAGAGAAAGGGCGATATATATGGAGTCTTCAGGTACTTGTAAAGCCTGATACAGCGGAGTGCCGAAGCACGTTCGTTCACACGCCGACTTCGTCTTAGAGTAATTGGCCTTTACGATAACGTTTTGAGGAATTATAAATCAATCCTAACTAACCCCAAAGCCGAACCCTCAATTCAACGTAAGAAGCTGGGAAAGTTGCAGACCCTAAACCGCTAACCCCTAAACCCTAAACCCCTAAATCCCTAAACCCTAAACCCCTATAAACCCCTAAACCCCCCAGAGCCCCCAAAGCCCCACATCCTGAATACACAGTCGTCCAAGCTCCCTTTCACGGAACCTACTTCCTTCCCTTGTCAGGGAAATGGTGAGACTGGAGAAGGAGATTTCTCGGCTTGAGGCACAACTCTCCGAAATGGTTTGCGGGGCGGTTTGAAGCAGGAGTTTAGGGTGTGGGAATTAGGGTTCGCCAGGACAGTTTACGGAACAAGGTGTTTCAGGCACGTCTGCTTGCGAGCCAAGCGTTCCCTATTCTAAGGGGCTGATGTTTAGGCTCTGAAAAATTGATCGGTGCAGGTTGTTTCTCGCCGTGGGCGCTTGCCCTGCCCTGCCGCCAACGACCGATGCGCATGATGAGCACCAGACGCTCATGATGGCGATGTGTTCAAGAAAATCTCTCCCAAAACATCACATCTGTAAAGCGCGCAACAACTTGCAGCGTTTTCTTGTGTTTTTGCCGCTATAAACCGGCCGTAACCCGCCAAGGAAGCCGAGCTATGCCGCTGATGCTGGCCTTCCAATGGCCCGGATGCAACAGAACGAGCAAACCAGGCTGTGATGATGCGCACAAGCGGGGCGACCCAGGGTGGTGTATTTTATAGAAAAAGGGTGAGCGGCACGCGGGGGTTCCCCGACCTATGCTTTGGATGGCGCGGAGTAGTTCAGAGTACTATCCCCTTATGGTCTTGGTAATGCTACTCTAACAACAACAAGTGCTTTCCCCTCACACATCATTCGAGAGAAAGAGAGAGAGCCATCTTTTCAATGGTTGGTGACCAGTCCTCCGTGATGGGCATGAGGGATGACATGGTCGAAATTTTCGCCAACCATAGTCCGAAATCGCTCTATATGGGATACCTCAGTGCTCTTGGGCCATGGATGCCGCCACTGTATTGTTTCGCTTAGAATAAAGTACATGCTATGCAAGACTCCGTTGGTCTCGGACACCCTTACGTCTACGTGACACGTGCACACGAAACCCGCATGGCAGAAATTCAAAAATCAGCAATGCAATGAGCTGCCAGGATAGGACGACAAGGGTTTGTAGGCATGGGGGCTGAGTGGCTGAGTGTTTATGGTGTCCCGTGTTGCTGCGAAGAGGGCGAGCCGTTGCAAGTTCCGTAGTTTCGCCAGGACTGCCGGGTGACATTCTCAGTTCGACACCAAAACAGGTTGTTTTCACGTTGGTGCGTGCGTTAATTAGTCTTGATGCTGACGAAGTTGCGGGTATTGGGCCTAAGCGTGAAGAGACACAGAGAGAAATGGAGAGAGAGAGAGAGAGAGAAAATAAAAATACAAGGGAGGAGGAGAGCGAGAGCGAGAGCGAGCGCGAGCGCGAGAGAGAGACCGACATACAAGGAGATGTGGAGTTTCCTCAGTGGGTAGACGATGGAAGAAAACTCTACACCGAAAACTACAGACACCGGCTACTTTGCAAATGTCAAGTTCCAGAAACGAAACCACGAATATGCACCCTCGTTGGAGTTTCGGACTTTGGGTTTAAGAACACGCTTCAGATTCCGGCTTGGCGTACTTGGTTCCAAACATTGTACGGAAACCCGGCGTTTTTGGTTTCGGGTCTTCTGGTATGGGGTTGGAGGGTTTATGGTTCGTGGCTTCGGGTTTAGAGGCTTTGCATCCTAGGAACCCCAAATTCTTTAAATTGCGGCCGAATCGGAAATCCAGTTGTTTTGACGCTCCGGCTTCAAGTTGCTAAAGCATTTTCGTACTGCAGCAATAGTGGATTTCGTGGTATGTAGTCATAGTTCGTTGACCTCCAAAAAACCAATCTAAGTTTCTTCGCCGCAGTAGTCAAGTTTTCTGTTGGGATGGGTTGGTAAGTAAGAGGTTCGAATAGGGAATGTTTCAGCCGTTGTCTTGTATTGCACTCCTTCAAGCTGCTTTTCTTGACATGGGAATCCTGACAATGAACCTAAAAATTGATCCGTCCTGATACCAGCCCGGCATTTAATCCAGGAGCCAGAGAGCCTCAGAGCCCTGCATGTACTTGCTAGCGGGTCAATCTCTCGAGGTTATATAGCTTAAACCTGAAACCATGATTATTGAATTTCGGGCATGTGTTTCAACTGTGGCAGGCTAAATTAATTATTCAGGAGGATATCAATGTTCCTTCGTGTTGGCTGCCAGTTTAAGGCGCGGTCTAGAAGGCTAATTAACCGGTGAATAAGGCTATTCCTTAGGTTCATGAGTAGAAGTATATTACGAATGACCCCCGAAGTGTCAGTGTAATTATCACCCTTTTTTTACCACAAAACAAACCAAAAACTTTGGCTTTTCAAATTTAGGGCCCGGGCAAACCCCTAAACCCCAACCGCCGGAATCCCGAGCCACCGCGTAGCCAGGAAAAGCTCGCCGAGATAGATCAAGCAATGGACACCCGGCTCCGAAACCGTAGAGTTTAGGATTTAAGTAAGCTAGGTATTGATTTGGGACATTGTTCCCTTCCTGTTTCACGCAGAGCCCTGACTCTGAATAAGCTTGGGGATTGTTGAAATCGACACTCAGTTAGAGTTTAGTTTAGTATTTAGCGTTTAGTTTTGGGTCTAGTGTTTCCTGAACCCTAAACCTCTGGGGCTTAGGCTTCTCACAAGGCGTGCAGAGTTTGAGGGCGCTCAGCGACAACTCCAAGTTCAGGTTATTTGGGATTACAGCATTGGCTGTTCGGGGTTAGGGTTGGAGGATTTAGGGTTTAAGGTTTAGGGTTCAGGGGATTAGGTGTTTAGGGGTTAGGGGTTGGAGGGTTTTAAATCATTACAGTGTCTGTTACGCCTTCGAGCTCGGAGTTGAATTACGGAGGGGGCCGGCGGCTTTTTGCGGTGGGCTTCGCTATGTTTGCACCCGGCTTACGGTTCAGGCTTTACGGTTTAGGGTGCGCACTTCTTGAAATCTTGATTGCGGAGAAAAACTACTTAATGTAGGGGTCTGAAGAATTACTTATATTATTCCTTAGGCTCCTTACTATAATTATACTATAATGGGCCCCAAAGCCCTATTCGATTACTACGGCCCCCTATAGTAGAAACCTTGCCGTGGCTCTCAACCCCTTGGACTGAGACCACCAAAGAGACCCGGGCTCTCCCTAGGAGGTTCCCTAAACCCTAAACCCTAAATACCCAAACTCTTATAGTAACCCTTATAGTACTCTAAACCCTAAAAACCCAACAAAAATACTGGGACCCTGAGCGTATCCCCTGGACGAACTTGAGCTTCAAGACGCGAAGTCTTCTGGGAGTTTCCGACAAGTAGGGTACCTCATTTGGGGGGGGGGGGGGGGTCCTTATAATAATGATCCTACTCTTTGAGGTACGATATTAGGGTCCCCTGTTTTCAGAAACCCCCATATGTTCATGTCTGGGACGTCCTTGACCTTTGAAGTTTCGGTTTGAAGGTCTGGGGTTTAAGGTTTAGGGTTTAGGGTTTCGGGTTCAGGGTTTAGGGTTTAGGGTTCAAGGTAAGCCCTAAACCCTGAAGCCCCTAAACCGTAAGCCTGGAAGAGGGGTCCTTACACGGAGAATCCAACAGCTTGGGGCCTAGACGAGGGCCCATCATTTTCTGTAAGTAATGCTGGACTTATTTCCTGTTCGGGTTTAGATGAGATGTGTTTTCGTGTGGCGTTTTGGTTAGTGACTAACGGTTGGTGTATACAGCTCCTTAGGTCGTATTGGCAGAAACACCACATCATATCGATAATTTATGCCAGAAGAAGTTGGGGTTTAGGGGTTTAGGGTTTAGTGGTTGAGCGTTTGACCCTGAACCCTAAGCCCCAAACCATGTTCGGGTTTAGGGTTTACTTGGATGTTCATGGGTAGCTATAAGTGGGGTTATAAGTCCCCTAATATGTGTTGTAAGCATAGTTACCCTACCAACAACCCCACTTAAAACTACCCATGAACCCAGAGAGCCCAATACCCCTAAATTAAGCTATATACCTTAAAATATAGGGGCCTTAATATTATGATTTAAGCTATATTCCTTAATTAAGGGGTATTGGGCTCCCTAAACCCTAAACCCCAAACCCCAAACCCTAAACCCTAAACCCTCTCTGGGAACCTCCAAGTAGACATCGACTCTCAGGCAGACGCCTGGGATCAGCCCGAGCAAGTGGAAGAGCTCATGGCCGAGCGTAACCAGCTCGAACAGGTCCAGGAATGAACGGGTTTAGGGTTTAGGGTTTTGGGTTTAGGGTTTAGGGTTTAGGGTTTTAGGGCTTTCAAAGCAACCTCGGAACCCCTTACGTAATGGGAATCCGAAAGGGAACCCTTCAAAGTTGATGGGTTTATGGTGCCATAGTTGGGTAGCAGGTTAGATGTTTAAGTAATTGATCATTCCATCCCAACCTTCGACTAGTTTATGGTGTCTTGCATACTTGGGTCGGGGGACTTAACAAGTAGCTGCTTTTATGGAGTTATAAGTATCATAACCCCAACAAGGATCCCTTTTAAAGCAGTTTTATGTCTACTTGTTACCCACTTACTAAGTCCCCCGACCCTCCAAGTAGGGCTCAGGGGTTTAAGCTTCAGGGTGTGCCGGGTCGAGGGTGCACCTGGTCGACGATTTTTGGGTCCGGGTTGGGGGGATGACACTTTGGGGCTAGGATTTAGCCCTAAACCCTTAACAGGGTTCACTTAGACTTCGGGTTGAGGGTCGCGGGCTTCGGGATTCGTCTGGTTGATACTCTGTATTCCCTGAGGGTCCATGCGCCCACGTAGTATGACTGGGCATATTGAAGTCGGGTTCCAACCCCATGATACCCCAGGCGTTAGAAGCCTTCGTCCACGGATTTTCGGTTTTGGCCACATCCGACCTCGGCAAGCCTTCAAAATCCACTTAGCCATACCCTGTCTACATTGATGACAGCAGATTAGTAACGTCAACCTTCTTGTTTCCATCCTCAAGATGTCTAGTCATGGCGTCAAACGCATTCCGCCACCCGGCCATTCATAGAGTTCCGGGGCCACAGATCGCTGTTAAGGGTTGGGTCGCTGGGAAGATCTTCTGTTTACAGTCGCCAGTTCGCGCCATGTAAAACTGGATTTTTGCGAGTTGGCGCTGTGATGGCTGAATTCGGTCTTGTATTTCAGAAGGACGTCTCAGGTCGTATAGGGCTTATAAGGTTTGGGCGCTGTGATGGCTGAATTCTTTCGGGTTCCCGGTTGTAGACGTAATGTGCCGGATCTCTAGTACAGTGGGCCGACCTGCTACGAAACCTAAGGCACTAGATATTCTGGTTCTTATAACCACCAGTATTAATATTTAAACCTCCCATTACTTTTACTAGCTTTAAGTTCGTTATACTTATATTGCTACTGCTCATTATTCATCATTGTTCTCTCCATTTAACCAGTTCTTTAATTATTTCTTTTATGTTCATTACGGTTGTTAGTTTAGCATTGTTGTTTTAATTACTAGTGTATGAACTGCCTGTTTGTTTGAATACTTGATCTGTTTAGTTTTTATACTATATTCCACCTTGCTATGTTATGTTATGTTTTGTTGTGTTGTGTTACATTCTTGTATTGTGCGTTATATTGTATGTCTTTGGGTACCCGAACCCGACCCTAAACCCTAAACCCTAAACCCTAAAACCCTAAACCCTAAACCCAAACCCCTTCACTCAAGCGCCTGAGTGCACTGCAGGCCCAAAGCAAGGCCTACGAACGATTCGAAGAGCTGATGGCGGGATGAGCGCCCGGAAAATGTATTTGGGTTTTGCCTTGAGGGTTTAGGGTTTAGGGTTTAGGGTTTGGGTTTTGCATTGAGGGTTTTAGGGCCTGGAAAGTATCCGTGCGGGATTGGTGCAAGCAGCTGTGCAACATAAATTCTGCCACTTGGGACGGCATATGTATGCATGTGTGATAAACTGATGTATGCGTGTGTGACTATGACTTATGACTGTATCTTTACCTATACCTCTTATCGATATCTGTGTCCGTATCTGAGCCTACAGCTATATCTACATCTACACATTTTTTCTCTGTTTCTGTTCTGCCTTTGTTGATATATAGCTGTATGTATACATGTAGATGTTATGAGTGTTTCTGTGTGTATGTACTTAGCAAGTCATGTGCTTGTAAGTTCCAATGATGTTCAATCCCCCTGCCAGCCGTGCACATCAAGTAGCCAGCCATCAACCTGGTGTTGAAAACCCTAACCTCAATTTCTAAAACCCTGAACCCTAAAACCCTAAACCCTAATCCTTAGGCCCTAAACCCTGCAAGTCGCTCTTCGAACTTGGAGGATACGTGTGGTTTGCTGTGTCAGCAATGTGTGTTACACAGGGCAGAGTCCCTCCTTCTTCGTCCGGGTTAGAGGCCCCAAAGACATGTTCTTGCAGATGAGCTTGTTAGTTCCCAGAGGCCGCAATATTCTTAAATTAGGATCCCTTGCTACGATGGCGCATCCATATTACAGTCTAGCGCATATTCCGTATTCAATGGAGTCTTGATGTTCTAGGTCTCTCCGAAAACCCTAAACACAGTTTAGGGTTTCGGGTCTAGGGTTTTTTAAGGGCTTAGAAGTTTGGTTTGGTCATTTCACTGAGTACCTGGCCTGAATGATGGAGTTTTGGGTTTCGGAAGCCAAAGTTTGAAGATAGGGCTTTGGGTTTGGGAGTTGCCCCAAATCCTTGAATCCCAAACCCTAAACCCTAAATTGACCCCAAAATCCTAAAGATGCAGGTCGGAAAAAGATTGGGTTTCAGCCGCACGGTTTTCCGGGCTCTTTTAGTGCCTCGGGCTTTGGGGGCTTAGGGTTTAGGGCTAAGCATAAAAGCCCCCTAATCCAAACTCCCGCAAGTCCTCAACCCTAAGCCGTAAAGAGCCGACAGCGCGGCTGACCATTTGGATGATGTAGGGGCCTTAACAATTAGAATAGGGTTCTGGGGTCCATTATAGTATAATTACAATAAGGTACCCCCAAAATACTAAGGTAATCATTTAGGCCCCTATATTGAGCGCTTGAGGCTCCGACCCAGGGCCCTAAGCCGAGCGTTTCGTCAGAACGGTGAGAACGGTAAAGCCTCCCAATATACGATTGTAGTGACGCCCCGCCATACCGCTCTGCCGTCAGGCCCTAGATCCTAAACCCACCAATCCATTTCAGCTGCGGCTTGCTATGAAGAGTGGTCGAACTATGAAGAACTGCGAAGTGAAACATAGAGCAAGAAAGCCCGCATTAAGGAGGGTGTAGGAGTGACCCTAAGACCTAATGGAGCATAGTTGGGGTGAGTGAGGCGAGACTGCATGCTGACGCAAGCGCACGATAAGTGGGTGTGCCCCTATGCCTGAAAATCTGCACCCACCACGCGCAAACTGTTTGCACACTCCAAACCCTAAACCCTAAACCCTAAACCCTAAACCCTAAACTTCAAACCTTAAGCACAGCCCACATGCCTGAAACCCGAAGGTCGGTGGGTTTTTCCTCCAGGGGCCAGGACTCCCCAAGAGCCCTCTGGTAGGGTTTTAGGGTTTAGGGTTTAGGGTTTAGGGTTAGGGTTTAGGGTTTAGGGTTACTTTTGGCATTTAGGGTTCAGGTCTTTAGGTTTAGGATGGTTTACATAGGGTTGGCAAGAATTCTACTGAAATGTTTCGGGTTGGTCTACAAACCTGATTTGGGGTTTACTGGTTCTGATTCGGGTATTAGGCCTCACCACGGTTGATGTGTGCATATGCGGGCTCAGGGTTTATGAGAAGCTATGGAAGTTACGGCTTCATAGGAAGGTTAAGAAGGCTCATACGGGCTTAGGGTTTATGAACCCAGGCCTGGGTTTGTAAGTTTTGACATGATTCAGGTTTATACAATATAGAAGCCAAAACAGTTACCTACACTATTTTGGAGGGTTCCTTACTATAACTATGTACTATAAAGGAGCCCCAAAGCCCCATTCCAATTATTAAGGGTTTAGGGTTTAGGGTTTATCAAGGCGTCTACATTACAAGTCTTATTTGGGATTTACTGGTTCTGGTGCTTGGGGACTTTCCGGTTGCTTCGAGTCCACATGCATGCTGCTCCGAGCTGCCGCACTGGTTCCAGCGGGCATTCTTTAATCCTAAACGGTTTAGGGCTTAGGGAACCCTACTCCTACTCCTTTAAACCGTTGCTTGGAGGTTCATGGCAAGTTGTAAGTTGGGTTATGAGTTTCCTAATCTGGGAAGCATACTTACTCTGCCTGCAACTCTATTTTGGACTACCCCTGGCACCCCAAGCAAACACTCTCGACCCGCAACTACAAAAAACTACAAGTCGTAGTACGACCATGCAGGGTGACGAGGGCTCGGAGGTTCTAGACCGTTCTCGCACCCCTACACCCTACCTTCCCTGCTTGCGCCGTGTTTGTTCTACGCATGGCGCAACCGGCGCTGCCAGCGTGGCACCTGAAAGACCAGCCTGTGGTCCGTTTCCAGGACGGATTGTTCTTGTCGCCCAGAATACGGCACTCACATATTCAAGCAGAGGAAGGCAAGCGACCTTGCCCCAAAAGCATCCTAGATCTACCTCAGGTGGCTTGCCACCTAAAACACGAATCCCACAGCCCTAAGCCATTCCCTGGACCATGAAACCCGACCCCATAATTCACGCGGAAAACCTCGAAGCACACAGCCCTGAACCACAAGGCCGTGAAGCCCAAAACCCTTAGCCTGGCACCCTGACCCCAGAAGCCTATACCCCAAAGAGCGAAACCATCCGACCCAGAACAGAAGAAATGTCCTCAACTCCGAGGAACTCAAATCTTGAAGACCTGAAGCCTTACACCTAAACCCTAAACCCTACTAGAGGGCTTGGAGCACCTCCCACAGGTGGCTTCAAAGACATCGAGGTCCTGCTTTCCATTTGCGCGGTTCTCCGGCTCGGCGGGGCTCGCGACTTTCGCGGCCCAGTTGGCGATTCGGCGATGTGCGAAGGGCAGGGCACCGAGGACATCTCCAACCTGGCTTCTACCAGGGTTTAGGGTTTAGGGGTT